TCACTCACTGGCCTGTTTATGAATATCATAAATTTAATTACTGAGTCAATAAAAATGACAGGCATGGCAGAAAAAACCAATCAGGGAACATAAGGTACTTGACTCATGGCCTGACTGAGTTATTAGTTATACAACAGCAGGGACTGACATATGATACAGTATATCCTCTCTGTCTGTGTGATATGAGAGTCTACTAAAACATCTGTGTAATGGAGGAAACTCTATGCATTGTTGGTGTGTGGCCAGCTGGCCAGCCTATCTCAAGCTATCATGTTACACAGTGTTTACTAGGAAGTGGTGTCCTTCAAGTCAAGACTCGGTGATGACAATATCATCACAATGGTATCCTTCAGTGTACATGTATGTTTAAGTCCTCTTCAGTTGGTGTAGCAAGCACTAGTGCATTCATTAGGCATCACCTTTACATCATTCTACGGTGCATTGATTGGGCTTCACTATAATGTGCATTGACTAGGCTTCATCTTAAGGTGCATTTACTGGACATCACTGTAATGTGCATTCACAGGACATCAAGTATGGGGTGCATTCACAGGACATCAAGTATAGGGTGCATTCACTGGACATCACTATAGGGTGCATTCACAGGACATCACTAAAAGGTACATTCACTGGACATCACTATAGGGTGCATTCACGGGACATCACAACAAGGTGCATTCACTGGACATCACTATAGGGTGCATTCACAGGACATCACTACAAGGTGCATTCACAGGACATCACTACAAGGTGCATTCATGGGACACCACTATAGGATGCATTCACAGGACATGACACTACAAGGTGCATTCATCAGACATCCACTGAACTTTCAGAAGGTGCTTCCTTCAGTAAAACTCCAAATGAGATAATAATTTCAGATACTTCAAATATTATATACACAGCAATTACACCAATAAGGAATAACTGTCTTGCTGGAAGGTAATCATATACGCAAGACTGTTCCAAAAACATTTGATGAGAAATCAGTTTCACCGAGACGGGTCCTCTGGGACTGTTCCTGATACATTATGTCAAGCAAAATATTCTAATCATGATTCTAATCTGATCTAATCATGATTTGTCACTAATCATGTACACTACTGGCTATAGAAGTTTTTGCTAGTTAAAACGGGCGCGATTTTCATTAATTTCTCTGACATTGTACAAAAATTGAAACTGAATAGTTTTATTCTCCATATAGTTATGAATCTGAACACTGAATTCAACATCTTCAGGAAACCTGGAGATTTTATACATAGCCCTCCTTTGACAAATCTTTATTGCACATTCCCTTAAGTTCAAAGCAATAATTCAACTGAACATTCGTTCATGCTTCATAAACCATGTGAGACTGCAGGTTTAACTCCTGACCCCTGGAGCAGCACAGTCCAGCCATCCAGTAACTGTGCATGTCACCTGTAGATGAGCTGCTGGGTGCTGACTGTCCATCACAGCCAGTATGGTGAGAAATCAGCACCACCCACACTGCCCATCATCACACTTATCTGCTCCAGACACCTCCCTGTCTGCTGACCAGGATCTGAACTCCTCCCAACAACAAAAGACAGTCCATTCATCTATTCATTCATTCATTCATCCATTCAAAGACAACAGTGTGAACAAGATGTTTTAAATTCTTGTAATGTGAAGATGATTCCATGCAATTCCCTTCTAACATACCAGGAACCCTGATTCATAGCTTACTGAACCATTCCATTAGATCAATCCTTATTTCACCCACAGCTGCCATGACCATCTATTCTGCACCAGTCAGGTGCCCTATACTTATTGCATAATGTTACATGAGGACCTGGGTTAGTACTGATCTGTGCAATCCATGCTGAGGTAAGAGGTGATTAGCGGGATCAAGTGGTCAGGCTCGCTGACATGGTCCATGCATGTTGTATCCCAATTGTGTAGATCGGTGCTCATGATGTAACTCACTGGATTGGCTGATCCAGTCTTGATTATCCTAACAGCTGGAAATTTTGCTAGGTGTTGACGTGTTAAAGGTCACATGCAACGTAAAACACAACTTTGCAGATTCTGATACCTTTCGGTATGGACTTACCGAAACAAAGCGTCAAAAATGCAAATTCAACTTATAAAGTTGAAAAATAACGCGATGAAAAAAAACGCGCGAAATCGGAGTTCAAACGTTTCACTAATTTTCCCCAGACTTTTCTGGGGAATACGGATTTCAACAGCTGGGCTGCGCTCATAGCACGTGCACAGTGAAATAGGTTCGCGCAACTTGGAAGCGGGCTGTCTGGTGAATACTCGGTGAAGGCTTTGGTGTGAGACATTTTATAATGTTTTGTTGATATCTCACAGGCGCGAGCTTTTTATATGTTATGACAGTAAATAAACTGTTTATACAATTTCATTTGTCTATTTCACCACACGTTCTTCTTACCGAGTCACTTTCTCAGTTAGATACTTAAAAGCAATGTCATTATTTAGCGTTGACACAATTTCTAACTGTGATATAGATATGTAGCTGTCACAGACAAAACTCAATGTCTTGTTTTATTGACACCTGTGTGTCTGCCTGCCTGTCTGCTAATGACAATAATCAATACACAACTGCGATCACTGACCACATGCAATTTGAACTTAACACCAATCAGGCTATACACCATAAACAAAACGCATTGATTTATGGCCCGAGTTTGGTCTCTGTCACATTATGTAATTACACAGACAGGCAGGTGTGATACTTGACACATGACATGTTATGATGTCTGTTGATTGCAAAATGTTATACACAAAAAATGAGCATGTATTTACAAAACCCAACATCTCTATATATACACACACAATGAGCTGTGAAGGCGGCATCTGCTAATGAACCAGCCGTTACACTTGAGTGCACACCCACCCGGTCTGACTCGGTTCGGTATCCCGGCTGCTTCGTTTCGAGGGAGGTAAACCCAAGTACAAAATATTGCACTTTTGATCTGCGATTATACGCTTATAATTTTGTTTATTTGTTTTTTCATAATCAGCAATGCATATTATATGTCATGAAGAAGTGATAATTGTGTTTTAATTATGTTTGATTTTTTGGTTGCATGTGACCTTTAAGCAAACAGAAACAAACAAACAAAACATAATGCACTGAGGAAGGCTAACACAGTCAGCAATACACTTGAAACATCATAATAATCAAAACTGCCTACACAAACCAGTGACTGATGTAATGAACAACAGATCACACCATCAGGGTGCTTGACATTCTTCATGTCAGTCAGCAAAGCCCCAACTCCACCCACAGAGCCCAGAGCCACCTCTGACAACAAACATTGGTTTCTAAGGGTCAAATATAACCAGAAATCTCCATACATATAGTATCATACTGATAATGGGAATATAGGATCCAATATGGGATTTATAACATAGTCATTGGTTGTTTAGGTCTGTTTTGTTATATTACACTCTCCAACAAATAGCAACAATAAGACACACCTCAAGGTGAAACGGGCGGAAGGTCGTCAGCCTCATGCAAACAATCTATGTAAAATGTAGTTGAGGAATGTTTTGAGGAAGTAAATGTTTCATATTTGAAAGAGATGATAATATGTTATTGTTTTCAAGATGAGTGCTTTGAAAATTGAGATGTTTCCGCTGTCTGAGTATTTCTACTCCCCTGGGTATAATGGCAGCTGTGTGGTTGGTGATGAGAGGCATGTCTAATGCTGGCAATCAACTGACCACAGGGTCCACTCATCTGGCACAAGCCATGACCTCACACCACAGGAACTCAAGCCTGTTCCTGCTGACCAATGATGCTTGTGATACATGCAGTCATATCGGATATATATCACACACTATCTATCCCTTCATCCACAAAATACACCTTTACATCTTGGACTATTTACACCGGAAACAATAAGTACCCTGTTTTAACTTAGTCAGGTGATCAAACCTCCACCCTTCAACTGTACACCCAACACTATCTACTAGCCCACAAAGCAGCCTTCCAAACAAAAAGTATTCCCCTGCCAACACCTTCCTTTTAATCTGAGCGACCGTACGACCTGTAAACTGGAACACGAAGTTTGTGATAATTTCATATTATCTACTTTCACGTGGCATCAAGTTCATTTCTGTGCAGAGAGATATACTAACAGATTTATCATATCTTTATCTCTAAAACTCATCTTCATTAATTAAACCAATTAAAAATAGGAAAGAAACTTCTTCTCAAGTTATGACATTAATAATGTCTTTAGAAAAGGTTACATGACTTGGTCCTATTGAAGCAAAAATGGTCGCTAACAAAAATACATGTTGTAAATATGGGGAAACTTTAAAAGATCATTTTCATAAATATGGAAAATGTATCTGATTGTTAGGGCAATATGGGGCTATTGTCAGAGTGTTAGTGCACTCTGGGGTCTTGTGGTAAGGAACACGTGTTGTCAGACTGCCACCATAACAGTCAGATACTTCTTGTTAAAAACAACATGTATCACATCTCACAATTCACACCAGAAGAGTTGTTCACACCAGCTTGCTGACTGTGAAGATAAAGGTCACATATTCTTCTCTTATTGAAATATTTGTACTTTCACCACGCCTCCGAACTAAAACCTTGTGTACTGGAATGTAAGATGTATTGTTAACAAACTTGTCGGGGCACACTGTGTGACATACGATTGATGTCATTGAGACCGAGGTCTTCTTTCTATACAACTCAACTTTAGATAGGTTTAGTTAGGGATAGTGGTAGTTTTTTCAAACATTACCAAAAATGGAACATGTACATGTGGAACAAGTACTTCTGTTCATGTCATATTGGAATTCTACAGTTAATGTAACAGTCCAAGAAACAGTTAGACAACATCTCCCAGCAGTCGCTCAGCTCCCACCTGAATACTCCCAATATCGAGAAGCATATTCAAAATCAGCTGAACCGATGAAGTGGCCAGCTGCTCTTGGCTATGTGCTGTTTTACTCCTTGTCATATTCTATGAAAAGAAGCAAATTGTTACCTCGAAATTTCTTCGGTGGGTTGTTGAGATCCCCCTGCATCTGGTTGCACCACACATCTGTCGTCAACCAAGCTAAAACACAGGATAGGTAAATAAATTAAAACACAAAAATACAAATTCAGAGAATATCGGTTCTTATGTAACACACAATTAGTAGAAGAGAATGGTGCACACTCATGCTAATTCCCCTTTGGACAACCTAACAAGAACTATGTTGAGTCAACGGGCCACACACCCATTTGCTTCTCTGGGTCCCGATCCACAATGCATTCAGATATTACGACATGTTGTACCTTTATAGTTTACCATAGGGTTACGATGGTCGTAGCGCTAGGAACACCTTGTGGATTATGACCTTGGTCCCTAAAAAAATGTTCATTCACTTCACTGGTCCCTAAAAACGATGTATCATAACGGAATGTCAGTGAGCCAAGGTCTCGTGTCTAACATATATAGGCCACATGAAGTTTAAATTGCAGGGCCACACATGCAGATGTAATCAAGTGTGTGACTCACAAAGAAGCGCGGGCGTGACTTTTGGAACTGAAGTGAACCAGCGAGAAGAAAGCAAGTTAATACATATGACAAAAGATGCAGGTTATTTGAAATTGAGTGAAGTGTTCACATGTGTGTCATCTGTGTGTTCCACTTTATGTACACATTGTAAGTTTATCACTCGCTCCACACAATCATGAGTGGTGGGGTAGCCTAGTGGTTAAAACGTTGACTCGTCACGCGAATGACCCGGGTTCGAATCACACATGCGTACAATGTGTGAAGCCGATTTCTGGTGTCCCCTCCCGTGATGTTGCTGGAATATTGCTAAAAGAGAGTAAAACCAAACTCAGACAGTCAGTCAGTCCACACAATCATCATGTCTACCAGACCCACCTCAGGGATAGAATTAGCAGGATCGTGGGTCATAGTGCTAGAATTGTTCTGGTGAAGTGGTCCCTGAAGTATATCAAGTTGTGGATATTGACCACTGGTGTGGCGCGATGCATGGTTGTAATCAGGCTAGACTTGCTCAGATTTACTCTCCTAATTCTTATCCAGACAGGAGCTATGTAACAGGGTTATTAGTATCACAGCGATCGATAATTGTTAACTAAATCTCTATCAATTTTTTATAAATATCGGAGAAGTAACTTCGAGTAAAACTACCAAAAAAGTCCCCCCCAAAAGCACATTTTTCACTTCATCGGTGAGTGACATATGGCGGCATATTTTTATGCGGATTACAAACAAAACTGCATGCTGAACATAATTTCTTTTCCAACGTCTATAAGAATTATAAAACAATCCTTTCTGACAGGTTCAGTTCCAATCATTGTTGAATATATACTCAGGCAGCTCAACAGAAGGTGATCAATACCCAATTCTTTCATAAAACTCTAGTTAATCATCCAGACATTTGGGGTTAGCTTTCATCTGCAACAACCCATACGTCTTGCAAAAAGTGACGACTTGCTGTAAGTGGCCACACAGGGAGTCACCTGGTTGAATAAGCCATAATACATGTCAATCACTAGATTGTGTGGTCAAGATTATTTACAGACCCTCAGCATTCAACTGGTATTTTACTAAGAGCAGCATTAAACAACAAACTCCAGGCAATCTATAATGACATGACAACTGTACTATGAAAAATCAGGCTCTTCCAAACTTTATAGAGGTATACAAGATCTATGTATGAATGGATCACTTCCAAACAGGGAGATTATGGCCTATGGTCTTACGACAAAGGCAGCAGATCACTCTCGGAACTGAAGAGTTACTGTGTAACAAATTGGATAAATATTGATGGATTTCGCAGTGTTTAGACAAAATCCAGTTTGTAGACATTTCATATGCATGATTGTCCAGCATTAGTCTGTCAATGGGTCAATATCAAATGCGTCAAAGGTCAAGGGTTATCACTATACTGATAAAATCAGTTGGGCATTAAACCAAAGAGTAATGTGTTTATTAGCACCTTGGAAACTGCACTAGACGGTCGCTGTAGTCTTTTAGTGTTAATGCAGTCTGTTGACACCTTTGGGAATAAGCCAGTGTTATCCTGATGTATGCTAGTCAGATTGTCAGATAACATAAAAGGATACCTTTAACATTAGATGAACTTACTCAGGCCAGAGGTGCATTTGCTGAGCAACACGCCTCACTAATCTTGTTGTTATGATCTACTCCCGTGTGTCGAAGAAAAACTAATTGTGGTCAGACAGATCATGTTGGCAGGCGTTTCCGCGTCAGGTCTTCTTCCATGGGAGCCATAAATCTTTAACTTCTAACACTATTGTTTCGGGACTTTCAGGCTCAATTTTCAGCGCTTTATCTAATACATGAAAGTGTAGTGTTTGTGTGCACAGGAACAATCCACATAATGATAGTAACGGAAGTTTGGACCAGACATTCCAGTGATTGGCACCATGCACATCGATATGCAATGGGAATATGATGACTTCACCATCGAGGCAGCAAACCTGACCATCTGATCCTGTGAGTCCGGCTCTTACCACAAGCATGATTTTCTGAAGACAATTCTAACAAGAAACTTCAATGGGCAAAAGTCTCAGTGTAAATTTAGTGTAAATCCAGTGAAAGACTTCAGTAATTCCTTGAAAGCCTGGTAAAAGTCTTGTGAATGTCTTGTGAAAGTCTATTGAGTGTTGACCTTATAACCTGAATCAAGGCCATGAGGTGACATGTAACACAGACTGATTTCTACAAGGACAGTTGGCCATTAGCACTAGTCATGGTAACCGAAATCATTGTTACGTGGTGGGCAGTAGTGTGCTAAATCCAGCTGGTACATCCACATGGAACAGTGTGATAGGGAGAATGTGAAGAAAGTGGTATCTGTAAACAGTAGGAGGTAATGAAACAGGGTTTTTCCACATCTTTGGCATTATATCACATCTGTCGGTGTCAGTGCCTGACTACCAGCCAGGAGACATTGTTTTGTCAATATCTGTCAGACATGATGGCATTTTTACGAAGTTAACGTCCATTCAGCCCTGTTGTCAGTTAGTTTAAAGAATCATCTGCCCAGACTGACTGCAGTCCTGGTGTTTTCTTCATTGACAAAATACATGGTGCATGTGCACTGGCGGCGTTAGTCAATGGCAGGCCAGGAATACGTGCAACATTCTGATATTTCTGTGCTCGTAGCAATAGGCACCCTGGGATGTAGAAAATTACAAAAGAGGCACCATAAAAAACATACAAATTACATCTAAATTTAGTTTCAGATGACCTGGATGTGTTTCCTGCACAGACGTAGAATTGGGGACAACTTGTCCCAAAGCCACCCAATACAATACGAGTCCTGTATCTGGACTGAAGTAGCTGCAGTTGTCCTTGTTCTCAGCTGGATCTGCGGATCTGCTCAGATCACTTGAATGTCAAGGCTGTCTATGGCCGACAAGTGAGAATGATTGCAATGGTTTTGGAGAAAATGCCTGCTTACTGTCGAGGAAATGATTTGTAGATGTTGCAGTAAGTTTTTAGACCCGTGGAATGCTGCTGCCGATCGATTATAGCCCTACATAGGTGCTGTCAACGTGGCTGGAATTAATAAACGAATTTAAAAGGTGAGTTTTTGCTGTCTTGGGTGATCCATAATTTTGGCTTGGAATCGCGGAGGTAGCTGTTTTCGGTAAGTCGTGGCACATAACTTTTGAAATAATGATCCGATTGTGACCATTTATAGCTCATTTTGTAGGGAAATCATCTCGCTTTCGACTCGGGGGCCTCGACGGGGCCTTAAAAATAGTTTACGTGGTGAAATCTAACTTTGATTGAGGAGGGGGTGGTTCCGTCATTACATCCCTTTCCTTTTACATAGTACTAGGGTTGGGTCTATGCACCTATATGTCTTTCTAACGCTGTTTCTGAGCGTGACACGCCCCTGTGATTTCAACCCACTTCTGAGATACTGATAATAGATTAAGTCTGGTTTTCATCTATCTTGCTCTTCATCCTATCATGTGACTAAACAAACCACACAAACTGTGTCTCTGTGTGACATGACCTATTCTGTGACTATCATTGCTGTTAATCACCGTTATATATCACTCAATGTAAACACATCTGGAAGATGAGGAGCCATTTAGTCTGAATGTCAGGTATATATCACAACTCTGCCACTTTCACCATGAGTCAGATGGGAGTGCATGAGTTGGGTGTAATGTCACTATGGACAATATTCCATTTATATCCTAGTATGTCAGTTGATGCGAGCATAAAGAAAGCCCAAAGTAAGTAATAATAAGGATATTCATATAGCGCTCGTTCCACATCACTGAGGGACATGCTTAAAGTACATCATAGCATATATACATCAGAGTGAGTGAGTATGGTTTTGATATTCCAGCAGTATCATGGCGGGGGACACCAGAAATGAGCTTCACACATTGTACCCTTGTGGAGAATCGAACCTGGGTCTTTGGCATGACAAGCGAACGCTTTAACCTAAGGCTACCCCACCCATATATACAGAAGACAGACAAAAGTAAAGATGATGTGGGTTTCAAACATTTACCACTTCAGGAAGCCACCAACTTGTATATAGTGATGACAAACACAGACACAGAATCAGGGAAAACCTTGATAGGATCCCAGATCAGAAGATTCTGGCCCGCAAAAGGGAAGCCACTCTGCACAACAAAGTATCATATTCCCTTTCTGGTCGCAAGCTTGAGTCTAGTAAACTGTCTCCTGGTGTAAGATCACTCTATACATCTCCATACACTAAGACTAAACTGAAGGTAAAGCCAGGACACATTTGCTAGTATGCTCCAAAGTTGATGTCACAGACTCATCTCCCTGTGACTTCAGAGTCTGACTTTCCATACATCCTACTTCAGCACATCTCCATCTGCAACTTGTAAAATTCAAGTCAATCAAATGTCTTTTAGCCTTGCAAGCATATTTAATGAGTTACTATGTTTTACGCTGCATTTAGCATAACTCCAGCAATATCATGACAGGGGACACCAGAACTGGGCTTCACACATTGTACCCAAGTGGGGGTAAGCATATTTAGATTAGCTAATACAAGTTCCCAAATTAAC